TTTTGCGTTTCTAGTTGGAATCGTATTTTACCTTTTTCTATACCATATTATCACAACAGGCTTACACATCACACAGACGCAGAAAACGCATGCGGTAAATGGAATATTCTAATTTTTACCCTGCCATGTTTGATTATTTTGTTAATTTGTATAGTAGATAGAAATATGTGTATGTATGCCGAGATATTTGTCATCGTCACTGCGTCGATATTGTCGTGTAGCCATATCTAAGTTCAGATATTTACGAGACGTCAACTTAGTTGGTATCGTGTTCTCTATGTAGCTTGTCGTTATTCGTCAAGGTATGAACGGGCCGCCGGGAGTGGATAAGTGTTGCGAAGTAAGCAACAACAGCGCAAAATGAACCGTAACGTAGGCCCTACACACAGCGCTTTGTATCATCACCCATAGCGCAGATCTACAACAAGACCAACATTCATTGTTAACAACACGCAGGGGACGACAAGAGATAGTTAAGAGGTCGAACGACGGAGGGGAGTTCCGCCGGGCGGGCTCGCGCGGTTTTACATATACCGCCGGTCTTCGCCGGACCTCCAGGCGTCGTGTCGTCACCTCTCGGGATCTTACCAGTCGGACTACGGCGTTAAAGTATTCCAGCAACCATGTATCCGCTCTACTTCGCTCTTGCTAATCCAGTGACATTAAATTACCTTATTCGACTTCTAGTGCGTCGATGCGTCGTTGCGTTTCCCGGACTTACCTTCGTGCGTCGCAGCGTCGTTGCGTCGATTACCCTCGTGCGTCGCAACGCTGCTCATTCGGCCCGCGACTAGTACGGCATCCACGCTTAATTAATAGCCTGATCGAGCGCACCGCTCACGACATGTATATTAACTTGATTCGATATCGATCTGCAGCATGAAATGGTTCATAGCAACGAAGCATTTGATATTTAATACATTATTATGCTATTTTTCTACAAATTAAAATTGGATTTGCTTTATTATCCATCAGATTAGGAACTATAGCCTAGTTTACATATACTCTACTATCGCACGTCTACACGAACTACACGTATACTTGGTATTTCAGCATACAAATGCTGGCTATTTATTGAGTAAAGTTATGTGAATAAGTTCTCTGACGGTAATCATAATTCCCACATGAAATACCGATGGTCGTGACAATTCTTTCGCTGCACATATAAATTCAAATGTCAACGAGTAACTACTCATGGCCGCTTCGCGACCCCACTCAGCAACAACATTCACATCAACTAAACAATGAGCCAGGGCACATGCCACGCCCGCCGCCCACGCCGAAACGCGCGAGCTACGAATCGCACACACAAGCACCAGCATGTTCTGTAGCATCTATGACAATTACACATCGCTTATACGCTCTCCTATGACACCTATTTGTCCAGGCAGAGAGATTTCTTCCCTATGACAAACTATTTTGTACGTGTAGTACGATATATTAGGAGTTTAGCGAGCGCTATTATGAACGTAGCAGTGACAATTTTAGCTGTAAGCCGGAACGAAGTTGATCTCGCCATATGTTCGTCATATTTGGATTTCATCTTGCTTTATAGTAGCGAAGATCTTCCCTATGACAAATAGTGTCATAGGAACGTATATGCGGTATTGTCTATTTTGTCATAGATGCAAGCAAACATGATTGCACAAAACCACGCAATATATAATGCACGCACGGAACGCGACATCACAACACAATACGAAGCTCATAATCGCGTTATCCAATACATATTTTTAAGAGGAGCACCTGTGACCCTACATAATGATGCTTGCCAGTGCCCCCGGCGTGATAAGGGCACAGAGCGACAGGTAACACCCAGCGAAAACAGGGAATTGCCATTCCTCCTCAGTCCTCCGCATCGCAGTCTATGATCAACTTACCGGTCAGAGCAAACGCCGACTTAACTAACGTGCCGCAAAGTACTAAACGAGCTTGCGATGCGCATAACGAGATTTGGCAAGTAACTAGGGTATCCTTCTCCACGCACCTAAGCCGCACGTAAAAGTAGACAGTTACTGACCTCGTAAACCCGATCTGATTGACAAAACGTGTTTTCCACCATGCGCTTCTGCGAGCGCAAATCTGATCGAAATCGTCGACAAATGTATAACCATGGCCGTGCGGTGGATATTTGCGTATGCTACCGATCTCTGCTCATTTCGGCCGTCAGGGTCGGCGCATTAGGGGCAGTGGAGTTTATTCGCTACTTCGTAGTATACTAGTCGGAACCTAACCAAGCCGGAAAGCAGTCACAGTAAGACAAGCCGTTGCAGCTGCCGCGCTCTCTAGACTCGTTTCAATCGAGGTGTGTTCCGCAACACGAATAACTGCGGAATATATAGATAGGTGGCGACACGAGGGCGCTATAATTACGTCACCGGATGCGTGAATCAAAGCAGGCTTCGCAAAACCTGTATCTGCGGTTTCGTTGCTGTCTGTTTAGCGCTCTTTTTTTGCATCCCTTTATTAAACCGTCATATCACTCGGAATTCTTCAATAAATTTCTGCTCAAAATAATTTCTTCAGTTATATATGTTTGATTATATCATGTGTCGCACTTTTAAGATTTAACATATTTTGACCAAAGGATCACGTTATTTAAATTTAGTATAATATTCTAAAGATGGTTTTTACTTTAGTGACAGTAGTATATTTTAACGAACAAATTTTAAGTGTATCTATGTCCTTACCATCCGCGACATAATTTTAGTAAATATCATTAATTTAGTTTTAACTGCCTGATGATATTCTTGTTTGCAAATTATTTTAATTGTAACGTTTTATGTTACACTAGTTTCTGCAATAAACCCTATCTACTCTACTATTATCCTATCTATCTTATCTAATCTATCTACTATCTATCTATCTACATCCTATCTATCTATCTATCTCATCTATCTCGAGACATGCAGGCATTTCCTAACCTCGTTATAGCAAACATAACATTGCTAATTCATTTAGTGAAAATAGCCATCGCATGTCATGTATAAAATTAGTAAATGAAATCCAATTAATGCGTTATTTCAGAGCTTATATTGATATGTTTGTATTTTAAGTAATATTCGATTACCGCAAATCATCATAGTTAACTAAAATTTAATGCCTTCCTCAATACAGTTATTCGATATTGAATATAATACAAATACACTTTGCGTCGTTCGATTAAATGAAATACGCATCATCAGGGCTTTCTTATTGAAATAGAATTTAATCGCAATTCTCACACTGTTTGTAGAAGAACATTTGAATACACACCCCCTATGACTATAGCGTATGCTATTCCAAGTTGTGTACTGAGCGACATTTGAGACGTAACGAGCCGCCCTGCCCACAATACGCAGCATTAATGTTCACGCCCCACGCATATACGAGGTACAGAGTCACAGCGCGATGTTTTCATAACTTCCCGACTTATTATAACTAAAATTCTCGTAATGCGTAAAGTACCTACATAATCGCTAAGACATGGGACGTGCAGCGCAGAAACATCCGAGTGTATTGCACTGTTCAGCTGATGGACTTAATACATGCTAAGACAATCCATAAGCAGAGGCAACTCGGGTCCGGATCATCCCACACGCCGATCACATAACTCGCCCGATATTTTGTAAGGCTGAGCTAGGTTACTTAACTTCTAATGATGACGTTGACCTTGAGATAAAATATACACTCAAAATAACTATTGTCAAGACGCAGGTTGGCGTGATGACCGCCAATCATCCCACGTTAACACATTGTTCCAGCATCTATTCACACAGATAGTATGAATTAAATCATTTCGACGGACGAATGTAGCCTATAGAAGTACATTTTATAATTTCAAAGAATGATACTTAATGACATGTGTAACTTCGGTTCACGTCAGATAATTATGGTGCTACCGCCCATACGCGTTACCTGGGACCAAACGTTGAGTTTCTAACTTTAGTGAAAAAGATACCGAGCGGACAGAAGGACACATTCACACACACCACACCACACCACACCACACACACACACAACACACACACCACACACCACAACCACACACACACACACACACACAAAACGGGCCCCAAACAATACTTCCTACACTTCGTGCGAGGATAATTCACTGCGACTATACGAATGGACCAATGACTATATTTTCATATGTGTTTCTAAAATGTGTTTCTACAGTACTATATAAGGTTATACGACAAATCCGCACTATAGCATACGGCACAACCTTTCAATTGAAATTGTTCTCTATATGTTTTACTATACAGTGTCTCTTTACACGAACGATTCCATTCAGTGTTTGATATAAACTTTTTACCACAGAAGCAGCATCAGTGCGACATAGAATATACGTTCCTCTTTATTAAAAATATATCACATCGAAAACAATTATATCAGACATAGATAAATTATCAACATCTTGTTGCTGTTCGCACTATTTATGTCACCGATTGTTGGTATTATTGAATTCATTGACACAGGCGCAGCTGAATACACAACACACACCGAGGAGACAGTGTTACTAGTAGGTCATTACGGACCTACGATTAGCAGACTTTACACGATTGTCAAATCTTCTAATGTCAATGTACAGTCCGAAGCTTGGCGATTGACGATCATCATTGCTTGTCGTACTGAGCGAAGCATGCGAGCCACGAGCCCTTTTTGTGAACATTTGACGATCATATCACTCAGGCGATCACAAGGGTTTTGTGGCGACATGACTAGTCACACCATCGACCATACCACTCGGATTATTGCCACCAGGATTGCACTCGTCGGTTAGCATCATTACACGAAAGGACACAACACAACACACAACACACACACGACACACAACACACACCATCTAGGTATAACGTAAATATATAATAGATATATGTAGATATACTAGTATATATTCGCGTTACACACACACTATATATATATATATATATATATATATATATATATATATATTAGCGTTTATTTACCTGATTTGTGATCTAGTCACGGATCGATCTAGCAATCTGATATTTACAACAGGTGGCGACAGTTTACTTCTGGTGCAGTTCGCACCTGAATACGACCGCCACAATAAGCCCTTAAAGTATTAAAAGTAAAGAGGATCGAGAATGAAGTCTTGATCGTAGCTGACGATGAAGATCGACACTTTCGTACGCATCAGTAAAGTTACTGCGTCATCCGTAAACACTTCAACAGACAAAAATATACTGGCGCCATCTAGGGCAATACTATTCCCACACGCAACATAATTGTGAAAGCGGGTGCTTAGTGCACGTCAAGAGCTGCTATTCTAAATGAACAACATTCGAAGCTACATCATGTGAAAAACAACAATTGTGTATATATAAGCAGACACGACGCCTTGAGAAAAACACGTATTCACGTTGATGAACAGAGCGAACGTTAGCGGTCTTCCAGCCAACAACTTATATAAAAACATGTGACTGATTATGATTCTTAAAAATTGGCAAAGCAAAATAATTGCACATTGGTGTGAACCCGCTAATTATCATCGTTTAATGGTGGATACGATAAATAAACGCAATTCAATAGATAATCTAGATATCCGATCTAGCGCAAGAGAGCACACGCAAGTCGGATCCTGTAGCGTGTATATCATCTACTCACGAATACCGGTGATCATTTACGAAAGTCGATATAATGCATCGCAGTTGTCGTGGACAACTTTAGATTCAGCAATCGCAGAGCTCGGAACAGATCTCGATATTATAACAGATCATCGATGAAAGGGCATAGAAATTCTATATTCAACAGACACATGAATCGCCTATCGTCGTTTCAAAAGACCTAACATGCAGAGACGATGCGCTGCAACAGCAAAAGGCTTCGTGTTACAATTCCCGATGATTCAAGCGTTCATACGCTGCATGGATTCGTTTATGATATATTGTGAACAACATCGCTATCATGTTTCATCATGACGCGATTTTGCACGACACACAATAGCTTTCAAATCACTCATTATGCTGCGGCAGTCAAAAACAGAATCAAGAGTATAAGGTATCCGATTATCACAGTGCAGGCATAATACTCACATAACTTACGTGCAAATAATTATCCATACCTAGAGCTGCTAGTTGAGAGCGAGTTCAATAGCTATTTAACCATTTCACTCATATAGTATAGGCGCTTAGCTATTTACGAAATTTAAGACCAATTAAAGAAGCCAAGATTTGACTACCTTGATTTCTGCTTTTTGTTCATGTTCTGAGACACAGTATCTTACAATGTAACACAATTCTTCTGAGTAACCTGGTTAACACTAGTGTGTCATTACATATGCTATGTGAAGTCGAATCCTGTAGCGTGTATATCATCTACTCACGAATACCGGTAGCGACGTGATCACACTAATCAGAACGACTAGTGTGGCGGTTAAACTAAACATGATTTTCAGAACTCAAACATGCAAAATGCTACTGTCGCGTTATGTGAAGTAATCATGCTCAAAATATGCTCGCGCGGCAGCTTGTGTCTCAAGCAGTCCACAAAGAAGAAAACGGGCATCACCGGTATTTACACGTCTCGTCGGTAGAACGCATGTAAATAGTTGTTCACCATCGTCGTCGCCAGCGTCGTCATTGTTATGGTCGTCATCGTCGTCGTATTTGTGGATGACACGGTTGCCATCATTTCGTCACCATTATTATTATTGTCGTACGCATTATCGTCAACAGTATCGTCATTGTCATCATCACCATCTTTGTCGTCATCGTTGTCGTTGTCGTCATTGCCGTCGTCGCTATCGTCATCATCGTTGTCATCGTCATCGCATATAATAACGGCATCCGGCAGCGGAAGCTGGAAGCGTTACCTCACAACGCGCCACGATAAACTTTGTTCACGAAAGTCAACGACAGTACGATGCGTATACAAACGTCACTACTACAACTATAACTGCACTTTTGGCCGCGCGAGGGCGCGCGCGCCTGGCTCGATCAGTGTGAGTGATACTTCGACTCGAACATGATCGTCTCGTCGTCGATGTTCTCTGGGAAGAAGAATGGGCTGATAGGCGGCGTCGAGCCCTCGCTGCCGCTGCGCCGGTAGCCCGAGTCCGAGCTGCCGGAGTCCGAGCGCAGCACCTGGTCGAGCTTGCGGATGAACAGACCCGAGCTGCTTCGCATGCAGCGGTGCAACTGATCAGGCCGATGGTCGCCTCCTCGCTCGAGCAGCCGACCATCCCGCTCACCGGTCGGCTGCGTCGGCGACGTGCGCTCTGACGTCACGCTGATGATGGGTGCGAGACGGGTGGAGGAAGGCAACGGCGGCTGCACGGCGGGCAGGTCGCATTGTTGTACCTGACCCGTCAGACAGCTCATCGGTATCTTCAGTATTCGTAGCGGCTTGCCGTCGGACGTAGCTAGGAATACATTAGGAAATTAATATTGAGAAATTGACATGTTCGTGTTGTTAGTACTGCTAATAACGATAATATTTACTGGGATAAGAAATATGAGAAAGGTCGTTATGCGAAAATTAGAAAATGAGAATAAGTATACCCGCATCACTTACACGGAGTTGGGTCAGTTTTCGGTAGGCACGCGTGAACAGATAGTCCTTCATTCGGTGGCGTGGCTCCATCTGAATCCGTGAATACGTCCATCGCCGGTACAGTGAAGTAGATGTCACTCTAAAACATCACAACGAAGTGTTACTTAGCTCACATTCGCAACGCGATAACGAAATACGATAAAGCACGTCAAATCAGAAGCTCATGTCTGTACTGTTGTAGGTGTACACGTGCAGATCACGTCGTACTGCTAGTATCGCCGCTACTGGCGCATGTTTACTCGCGGAACGCCGCATGGAAAAACTCTAGGGATACCCTTGTGAATTTTAATTCAATCATAATAAATTACAATATTATCCTAAGATAGTGAGAATGCACCTAGTGCTGTACCTTGGATGTCAGAAGATTAAGCTTTGGCATATTCATCGTATGTACAAGATTTCCATTCACGATGAGTCGTATCTCGATAGAATCGTAAGTGAACCCCATGATGTAGGGGAACGCACAAACTGTGAAACAAACCGATAAAAAAAAACTATTTAGTTGCCGGTTAATATAACGCGCGATACGTCATCATAGAATCATGTTTTCATATAATCACGGAATGTATTATAGGTAAAATAGTAACGTTGTAGTCTGTCCATCAGCGTGCCAAAATATAGTGCCCGAGTGCTCAGACAAAAGCTTTAGCAACAAAGAACATTACGTGTACATTTCAGGCCTTCACTGTAGTATTGGTCTTATACCATGAATCTATAGGCAAATGTTAAAAAAAGTTAACGCAATCATGACGTAAGTATAATGATTGGATTACATTCGCGATCGGCCAATAATTACTATATAATTTCTATTATACTTGATAATTGAAGTAAATCATTAGTAATTGTAGTTAATAATCTAACAATGAGTCTTTTTAAATGTGATTCCCGAGCAAGCCCTATCGCTAATTGAGCGTTAAACGTAATACTGCGATGCAATTCGAGATTTTTCAATGCATGCTATTGGAGTCTCCTTGGACAGTGCACCACATTCATGTGAAAAAGTAGATAAAGACATACAAATCGAAGCGAATAATTTATGATGGCCTAATATGAATAATATAGTGTATTCTATCAACTATTATAATTTCAGCACAAATTGATAGTTATAGAGCTCGAACGGTAGGCCTTCTATTTCATGCAAGGACAATTTAAACAAAATAATGGACTCGACGGTTGCGAGCGAAATCTTAGGGATATGGGAGATGATAGAATGCACTTGGATTTTTGTTTAAGAGGTTTGTCACGATCTTTAGCTATAATATGGTTTGGTTATGAGAAGGTACCGATTTTGTTTGGAACAGAGTTCCACTGGAAGTCAAACTGTGTCGATGTCTCCTCGCACAACTTCTGGAAATGTGCCGTATCTGCAACAATGATTAATTCGTAGTTAATTGCCATACAGTTAACTGCACGACTACGTGTACATTGTAGACTGCGCACGCGTCGTTATTCGGCGCAGTCACTGCACTGAAACGCCAAAAGCTCACCTCGAAATGGACTCTCTACGAAAAAAGATTCCTATTTGCTATGATGTAAATACTCGAGTCAAGGGACATCGATTTGATCGACAAGTAAAGTTATATACTCACGATTGTAGCATAGGAGAAGTTCTGCTTCATCGTCTTCATAAATATCCAGTGCAGTAACAAGCTTTACCTGTGCCAGAGAGTAGAGTGATGTTATAATTACACGTAATGCTCTTCATTAGCAAAGATTATTACTGAAGCAGTTTTCCGTGCGCAGAGTCCAGATTTAAAATCGGTACGCAGTCGAAGTGGGTGGGTGTATGCACGCGTTTCATGTGCGTGCACGTGCGTGGCGCGTGTTTGTGTGAAACTGAGCGTGAATGCATTCGTGCGGGCGAGATGGCGCTTGCGCGCGTGCAGGGCAGCTCACCTTACTGCCTTCTACATGGAACAGTCTCAGCATGTCTCCGTTCTTCTCGTTGATAAGATCAAACTGGTTGCGGTAACCGACGCTTATCTGGTTATCACACTTGGTGCCATCGATGAGCGTCAGTATCGACGGTATGTCTCCGCACTGATGCTCCTATGGAGTAAAATAAATATATTAATTAATGTTAAACTAATTAACTATTGTAAATAAAAAAATTAATCATTGAATTTCAATATTATATATTACATCTATGTGTATATATGCATACACACACACGCGCACGCACGCACGCACGCACGCGCACACACGCTCACACACGCACACACACACACACACACACACACACACACACACAAACGTCCATGCATATAGCGTGTAGCTACCTA